TATATATATATATATATATATATATATATATATATATATATATATATATATATATATATGTGAAAGGGATATACCTAAGTACTGGTTAAACCTTTTTCTTTTTTTGCATGGCGCAATAATACACTCAAATTGTTAATCATTTCTTATCATTCTTATCAACGAAAAAAAAAACTTTTTTTTCTTTTTATTTATTCTTTCACTCTTTTTTTCTTTCCTTTGTTTTCTTATTGTTTTAGTTTTTTTTTCCTTTTTTCTTTAATATTTTCTCTAAATTTTCCACATTCATTTCTTTAAATAACTTTTTTTATAACAAAAAAACAAAAAAAATGAAGAATAAAATTTTTAGTTCTCTTTCATATATCAACACAAATTATTTCGTCGATGTTATTCATCAGTTAAACAATATTAATTCGTAGTAATGCAACAATTATCATCAACAACATCACTGTTATCATTATCACCACCACAACAACTACCACCAACACCACCAATACCACCATCAGTACCATTGTCAACAGAAGTACCATCATCATTGCCACCACAACCATCATCATCATCATCATCGCCATTAACAAAATCAACATTATCACCAAAACATACACGATCAAGATTATTATCACATTCACGATCACAATTGTTATCATCATCACCATCGTCATCAATTAAACGATTAAAAAGACAAAAGCAACAATTATATCATGGATATAATTCGAATGATCCGGAAAATCGTTGGATGCAAGTAAGAAATTTTTATTCTTTTTTAATTTTACATGTTTAGCATTTTTTTTTTCTTTAGAAAAAACAGTTTATTCACAATTACTCTCTCTCCTTTTTTTTTCTCTCTCTCTCTCTTTCTCTTTCTCTTTTTCCTTCTCTCCTGCTACCTTTCTTTGTGTTTGTATAATCAAATTAAGGTAAGATTTTTTTCGTACTAAATTAGTACATTTTAGTATAATTATTAATATGCGCTAAATATTTTAAAATTTCTTTCAACAATTTATGCTTTTTTTTAAAAATATTTGCTAAAACAATGTATAAGATTTTTTTTGAATTGTTCCTTTTCTTGTAAAATTTCGAAAAAAATTTGAATTAAAAATTTTACAATTAAATTCGTTCTATATTTATTATATAAATTATTTATATTTTAATCAATTAACATACAAACAAGGAAAAAAACAAAAGTTTAATTGTTATTCATAGAATTCTTTCAATTGTAATTAGCTTTCCTTTTTTTCAATAAAAAAAATAAAATTATGAAAAAAAAAACTAAATTGTACATTTCTTAACTCTAAAATTACTCTCAAGAGGCCGCCATGTTTTTTTTTTGCATTTTCCCTTTTCCTTTCTTTTTTTTCATAAAATGTCAAATCAAAACAATCATTATTTACAATGAAAGTGACATAATTTAAACGAAAAAAAAGAAAAAGAAGAAAATAAACTTACAAACCATTGTCGTCATTATTTGTGCTGTCAATTTTAGCTCAATTGTTATTTGCTATTTCACCAATATTCAACGACTCATTTTCTTTTCAATTTTGATAAAAGAAAAAAAAACAAAATAAAAACAAAATATATTTTGAAAAGTTTCAAAGTTAAAAAAAATTCAAAATGAGTTTTTTTTAAAGAAAAAAAAAAATTTTGATAATAATTAAATAGAGAATGTTTTTGTGGAAAATTTCTTTCATTTTTGTTGTAATTTATGAATATTTATTCTCATTAATGATAATTAGCTAAGAAAGCAATTTTTTTCATTTTATTGATTTTTCCAAATTTCTTCAATAATTATGCATACCACTTCCGTTCAATTCATAATTTGACATATTTCAAAAATTTCACCCAAGAGATCTGATGTTGGTACGTTTGTTTATCGACAAATGTCGAAAATGCTAACTTCTCTTTTTTTTTTCATAAACTTTAGCTGAAATGCAAAGCAGAATTGCAATAGTTATAAAAAAAAAAAGAAAAGATCTGTAAAAAAATACATCCTCCTCTTTCTTTAATTGACTAATTGCAGTAATTAATTAAGTACAAATAGAATTGAAATGTAATTCATAACTATGCAAAACTCCTCCATATTATTATTCATTTCGAAATTTGTGAAAGATAAATCAAAATGTTTGTAAAAGATATTTTTCAATGTATTTGCTCAGAGTAGTCCAAAAAATTTTCAAATTTTTTGGATCAAATCGGCTAGTTATAAATTTTTTTCATCAAGGCTATTGATTGATTTAAAAATTTTTTTTCAATCAAACCAATCTATTTGTTTTAAACTTTTTGATTAAGGCAATTGATTAAAAATTTTTTTTGATTAGACCAATTTTTATTCAGTTTAATTGAAAATTCTCTAATTTTCTATCATCCTATTAAGTTAATTAGTAAATAAATCCTGTGATTACCGAACTTTTTTATTCGGCAAAATGAACAAATTTCTTATGGCTTATTAGCATTCTAAATATTATACCTAAGTATCACTTTGCAAATGAATGTAAAAGCCATAAATAATATTTAATCATCAAATCTTTTAAGGTTAAATCAAAATTCGTCTAAAAAAACAAAATTAGAATAAAGAAATAAAGATGAAGGAAAAAAACGAGCCTAGTCATAACCTAGTAATATTACATACATGATATTTTCTACGGTAAATTCAGGATGTAATAGAAAAGTTACCAGTTCGAGCACGATCACAAAGTTGGCTTATTCGAACTCGCCATTTACTTAATGATACTAAAGTTAGTTTGATTATTTTTTTAAAATATTTTGTAAAAAAACAAAAATTTCCTTTAAATTAATCAAAATTATGAATATGGAAAGAACTTTTTGAAAATCACTTCAATACAAATATAATATCTAAATATAATATATTTGGATATAATATTTGCATAGAAAATAAATGCAAAATTATATGAACTAAACGTGATAAAATGGGCAACATTATTAAACATTTATTATATAAAAATAAAAAGTTTTATAATATAATTTGAAAATTTTTAGTCATACAAAAAGTTTTCATATGTATATGTATATTAAATTGGTGCAAAAGTAAGTGCAATTTTTACATTATTAAACATTTTTATTGTTTTTATATTGGTATGCAACTTAACAACAACACGATTTCTACATTTATTCAGCATTTCAAGCAATTTGGAAAAGGCGAAAAAGGTCAATAAATGGAGAATTCACATCAAATGACCAATAATTGAAAAAATGACATGTGTCACCTTTTTTTTTTAATCGTGCAACAATAGCGACGAATGATTTTATGATGAGACTGTGACATATGAAGATATATCATAGCAATTACAATGACATCAAATATTACAATTGGTTGAGCGGCAAAACTCAAAAGCGATTTCGAAAACTGAAATTATAAAAGGAGGATGAGGTTGTCATTGATTGGTATCACTTGTGGGTCACTTCAAGTTTGTGAATACCGTGCGGAGCTGTCACATCACTAATGTCACACCATTAAATTACTGTAGAAGATACAATGAAAAATTTCTCGGTTTTTATCCAAAAACATTGATTAACAAAAAATGATTCAGTTTTAGTCAAACGATAATACGCCTAGTCAAACATCAAACAATCTGCGCTTCAAAGATCAGAACCAATTAATGATTGATTTTAATTATATTAAATTTGTCATACTAATTTAACTTATCCATCACTTCCTCAATTATCATCTTCGATTACGACAAATTTATAATGAAATACTTCAACAGTTATCAGAAA